AAAGGGCATGGCTCTACTCTAAAACCCTAAAGAAGACTCTCCAGTTGAGGCCTGATGTGGCATTTGTATTTGCCACAGACACTCCTGAGTTGAATCTGCTGGGTCAATACAGCCCAAGTGTCAAAACAGTTTGCATTGCAGTCTGACTTGATGTAGAGCCTTCTTTTGCTCTAACAACACCTCAGATTGGCAGCCTTACACGTTACTTGGTAATGAATTACTGAAATGTTGTATACACAGCTTCCAACATCCAAAAAAAAAAAAAAAAAAAAAAAAAAAGCCACCAGGCATCATGCCTAGCATTGTGAAAAGTGGCACAGGGAGCAGCAGCTTGTCTTCTATATTTGTGGGAATCTTGCAACATGCTCCAGACCACTGAACCTCAACTTCAGAGGTGGTATACTCTTGAATTTTCATAGGGTTTATTATCCACCTTCTGGCACCATTCCCATTCTATGTCAGATTTTCTTTCAATTTCTATCTAGCGTAGTATAGTATGTTTCTCTGCTTATCCAACTGAAACTGACTTTATTTTTATTCACAGGTGTTCAACACATTTTCTCTCTAGCTTGGAATTATTTAACATTGGTTCTGCTGGACACAGTGGCTCACACCTGTAATCTCAGTGCTTTGGCAGGCTGAGGTGAATCACTTGAGCCCAGGAGTTCAATACCAACCTGGGCAACATAGCAATATCTTGTCTCTACAAAAAATAATTAGCCAGGCATGGTAGTACACACCTATAGTCCTAGCTGCTCAGGCAGCTGAGGCAGGAGGATCCCTTGAGCCCAAGGGTTTGAGGCTTCAGTGAGCTATGATCACACTACTGCACTCTAGCCTAGCAAGACCCTGTCTTTAAGGGGAAAAAAATTGGCTCAACAAACATTTACTAAATGCCTACTATATGCCAGGTATGGGGAGGCACTATGACAAAGAGAAACTGGTTCCCATGTTTGAAGGAGAATGTCAATTGTAACACAGTCTGATGGGGACTATAGCAGAGATAAGAATGTGTTACAGATATATGCAGATATGCATGGGGATTATTTATCTTTTCTTTTTTTTTTTTTTTTTTAAATAATTTAAGATGAGGTTTCACCATGATGGCCAGGCTGGTCTTGAACTCCTGACCTCAGGTGATCCACCCACCTTGGCCTCCCAAAGTGCTAGGATTACAGGCGTGAGCCACTGCGCACTGCCCAAGGGGAGAATTTAGTCCAGATGGGAGAGCCATCAGGAGAGGCTACCAGGAGGTAGTCATCCCTAGGCTGAATTCTGAAGGATAAGGAGGACTCAGTGAAGAAAGCCAGGAAGGGAATGAAAGAGAGAGTTTTACAACCAGGGGAGCAGCATTTGCAAAGCCTGGATGTGAACAAAGAAGAGCCCCTATAATGATGTACATTTAGCCTTCTTTTCCTTTCAAAGTTTTACTTCTGGTTCCTACTCATTCTCAACCCCAATTTTGTCTTCACTTCTTCCCAGATTATGACCCAAAAGAGTGCCATAAACGCTATGAAGACAATTTAGGTTCACCACATTTTTGGTAAATGCCTTTTGAAAGACGACTTTTTGCTTGTGAACACAGTACAAAGGGTCCTAGTTACTAAATAGCTTTAAGTTTTGACATTTCTTGCTTAAACAACTTATTCATCAATTTCTCCATTTATTCCTATTATTTCTAATTTTGCACATAATTACTGACCAGCTTTTGATAACTATTAGGAGACAGGCTAGAGACACAGTGTCTTCCATTCCATTGAAATTTTTCTGGTTCCATTAAGAAGCGCAGGTAGGTTCGCAGCCGCCGCCGCCGCGCCGCGGCGCTCTCCAACGCTAGCGCCGCCTCTCGCTCGCCGAGCTCCAGCCGAAGGAGAAGGGGGTTAAGAAAGGAGGTCTCTATACCATGGTTCGTACAAAGCCGGCTGCCCGCAAATATACCGTTGGTAAAGCACCCAGGAAGCAACTGGCTACAAAAGCCGTTCGCAAGAGTGCGCCCTGTACTGGAGGGGTGAAGAAACCTCATCGTTGCAGGCCTGGTACTGTGGCACTCCGTGAAATTAGACGTTATCAGAAGTCCACTGAACTTCTGATTCGCAAACTTCCCTTCCAGCGTCTGGTGCGAGAAATTGCTCAGGACTGTAGCAATTTCTGCGCTTCCAGAGCGCAGCTATCGGTGTTTTGCAGGAGGCAAGTGAGGCCTATCTGGTTGGCCTTTTTGAAGACACCAACCTTTGTGCTATCCATGCCAAACGTGTAACAATTATGCCAAAAGACATCCAGCTAGCACGCCGCATACGTGGAGAGCGTGCTTAAGAATCCACTATGATGGGAAACATTTCATTCTCAAAAAAATAAATAAATAAATAAATAAATGAAGTCTCTTCTTCCTGTTACTGGTAGTTCTGAATGTTAAATAATTTTTTTTCCATGGGGTAAAAAGGCACCTAAGTAAAAGATTGCTAGTGGAAAAATAGGGGACAGAAATCAGGTATTGACAGTTTTTCCATTTTCATTTGTGTGTGAATTGTTAATATAAATGCGGAGACGTAAAGCATTAATGCAAGTTAAAATGTTTCAGTGAACAAGTTTCAGCGGTTCAACTTTATAATAATTATAAATAAACCTGTTAAATTTTTCTGGACAATGTCAGCATTTGGATTTTTTTTAAAACAAGTAAATTTCTTATTGACGGCAACTAAATGGTGTTTGTAGCGTTTTTATCATAGATTCCATCCATTCACTATACTTTTCTGAGTTGTCCTACATGCAAGTACATGTTTTTAATGTTGTCTGTCTTCTGTGCTGTTCCTGTAAGTTGGCTATTAAAATACATTAAACTATGTAAAAAAAAAAAAGAAAAAGAAAAAAGAAGCGCAGGTAATAGGCATTTCCTATTGTTACTATGCACGTCCTAAGACCTAAGCCCCAAAGAAGGAGAATTTGAAAGAAATTGACTACAGGGGGAAAAGATCCATAAAAAGTTTCATTAAAATTGGGAAAAAGTCCTCCTAACTGGTATACTGTTTTACAGATTTCCCAAGAGTCATTGTGAAATGACTCCACTATAAGAAAGGCTAATAAGCTGTTCCAGTGTTCAATTAAGTTAAACGTGTTCCTGCCATATATCCTGTCTTAGGAAGAGTACTTGGGGATATGTGAAGTGGGATAAGAAGTTTAAAGAAAATCCAAAATACAATCTCTGCTCTAAAGCAAATTCCTAAGTAATAAAGACTTGAGAGGAATACACAGAAATTGCTTGTTTATTTTTTTAAAGAGAATGAGCTTGAACATATGATTAAATATTATAAAACAATATCCTATTAAGTTAAAAAGAACTCAGTTATAATATTGCAGTTGGCTTAATTCTATATACAAGTTATTTAAATTAGCACATATTCACTGGCTACATCATCAAAATGTTATAAGCAATATAGAGGGGTAAGTTATGCATATTTATTTTTAGTAATGAGAGCATAATTATTTTTCTACTGAAAATATTTTTAAAAACCCAGTTATAGAAAACTAGAAAAATACAGTGAAAAATATGCATATATACATCACTACACACAAATAAAATAATCTATAGCAATCTCAATGGCTATCAAGCTAAAATAATACATATCTGAAATGCAAAAATAGCAGGAAAACCATAAGCTTCTCCCCACAATGATGATATATTCATAAGAAAATGTTTGAGTACTGACCATGGGAGTTTCTGTCAGTTGTCTGACTTGCTATCCGTGTGACAATATCTGTAGACACACTTTTATGCATTCTTGCAAAATTACAAACCTTGTACAGGAACCAGGTATCTTGGAAGTAGAGTCCCAAGTAAACGCTAATAAAACACTGATTTTCATTTGTGGAAACAAATTTTAGTGGACTTTAGCAATTTACTTATTAGTAAGTAATAACATTACTAGTAAGTAATTACTTGTGAGTAATGCTCATTGGTCCAAAAATGAAAATTCGCAGAACTGTGCACTGTTTACTAAAGGAAACTAAAAAATAATAATAATTTTTGGATCTGCTCATGTCCCATCTGAAGGCAATGAATACATACATTAATAGCTCCTGTGTTCCCTGATTATGGCTACCTTCTCCACTTAAGTATACACACACAATTCCTACCCACTTGTTTTATATTAAGTACTACTTCTTATAGGTATTATAAGAACACAGGCAGGAGGAGGATACCAATTTTCTGGTTGATACAGATCCTGTCTCTGAATTCAGAGGCAAAAGATGAATGAATGATGTAGTATCTCCTGTTTTTGTTTTTCAGGTTTCATGTGTCAAACAAAGCTTGGGTGTTCTTATTTTTTTTCTTTAAAAATGTGTGTGTTTGTGTGTGTGTGTGTTTTAAGACAGTCTTGCTCTGTCATCCCGGCTGGATTACAGTGGTGTAGTCTTAGCTCACTGCAGCTTCCAACTCCTGGGCTCAAGTGATCCTCTCACCTCCACCTGCCAAAGTGTTGGGATTACAAGCGTGAGCCATCACAGCCAGCTGAGTGTTTTTTAATAAACTGTCTTCTTTCAGTAATTTTAGTTTTATCTAGATAATGTCTATAATGTTATTTTCAACTTTGTTAGGAGTTTTCATCTTTTCCTATGTTTTCAAAAGTATTTTAGTGAGAAGACACTTAGAAGAGGAGGGCTCATGGTTTCTTTCATGTAACACTTTGCTAATATGTGCATTTCTTTTTTTTCCAAGATGGAGTCTTGCTCTGTCACCCAGGCTGAAGTGCAATGGCACAATCTCGGCTCACCGCAACCTCCGCCTCCTGGGTTCAGGCAATTCTCCTGCCTCAGCCTCCTGAGTAGCTGGGATTACAGGCACGCGCCACCATGCCCAGCTAATTTTTTGTATTTTTAGTAGAGACGGGGTTTCACCATTTTGACCAGGATGGTCTCGATCTCTTGACCTCGTGATCTACCCGCCTCGGCCTCCCAAAGTGCTGGGATTACAGGCGTGAGCCACTGCGCCCGGCCAGATATGTGCATTTCTTAGCCTCCCAAGTTGAATATGTAAGAGTCATATCTACAAATAGCTATCAAATAGTGTTTGCCACACATATACACATATTAATGTACGAATACTTTTAATAAATTAATGGATGCATTTTAATTTATCTCCAGCCAAGCCCCGAATCAGCTGGTGAATATGAATTGAGATACCCAAAAAACTATCCCAGGAAATTCTGATATGAATTGAGATATCCAAAAAACTCTCCCAGGAAGTTCTGATCCCATCCCTAACACTGACACTAAGAATCACTATCTTCTTTTAGTTAGTTGAAAAAAGCAGCTCACAGAACTCCTGGAAGGTGTACCCCTTCCTCTCACTCAACATTCCCTGCCTCACAAGGCAAATGGCCAAAGAGACTTGTCCCACAAGGAGAAAATGAGAGTAGATTATCCACCTCCCATCAGGATTACTCTTGTCATGCCTATATCCTGGTTTATGTCAGTCTCCACACACGCTAACTGAAACCTGGCTGTCTTGAGGACATTACCTTCCCCCAAACCTGTCAAAAGATGGCTGTGTTTGATCCTAAACCCCAGGCAGGCATCCCTCTATTTCTGTTGTCATCCAGGTTATTCTTCCTCCTTGCCTACCTCAGATCCCCAGCATATCCCCTGCCACTCCTCCTTACTGTAATCATTTACAGTCCTTGTGTCCCCAGCATTATTCCTGTCATTTTGGGGGGGCAATTTTAATAAACAAATAGATGATCCATTTGAAACCAGGGGTTTCCAAGTTCTCACCTTCTTACCTCTAGTTATCTTTAATAATATCTCAACCACTCATTCCCCCTAGTCTTGTCATTATCTAAACTTCCCCCAAATCTCAATTCCAAGCTTTTCATATTCTGACCACTACTTTTTATCTTTCCAGCTAATTATTTCTGACATCTACACTCTTAATAGCTCTTTGACCTCAATGGGACTTCCAAGCAACTAAGCCTGTTACCCAGCACTACCCATCTCCTCCATCATCCATTTTCTGCTCTTGTAGCTTAAATGAGTCACTCCCTTGTAAACATTCTAAATTCCCTTGCTCTTCCTCTTTCCCCTGTACCCACCTGCGGTTAAATCCAACTTTCTACCAAGCACTGAAGATAGCTAGTGGAAAGAAGCACAGTTATGCTTATTAGTTTCACTTTAAGTTCATGACTCACAGCCCAACATGGGCCCTCACAATCTACCACATACTACTAGTAAATTCAACATCTTACTCTCTTAGGAGACTATTTTGCAAAACCTCTAACCCTCTTACCCCTTTCTAGCTGATAATTCTGCTGCTTCTTTCACAGAGAAAAGAACAATCAGAAGGTAACTTCTGCATTCATCTACCACAAAGTTCTCCTATTTGGACACCTCTTGTTCTAGGTATCTAGGTGGCCTTAGCTCTCTGCTCAACTCTCACCTTCCTAAAGAGCCTTCCCTGGTCACTGTCAAAAAACAGTATTTTCCATCTCCTTTCCCAGCTTTATTTTTCTTCATAACATTGATCATACTTATACAGAATTATACATCACGCTTACAAATTATATAGAAGATTTTTTTGCCTCTCCCCAGTCTTGTAAATTCTTACTTTAGAGTATAAGCTTTGTGGAAGTGAGGATTTTATTTTGTGCCTAGAACAGTATCCGGCAAGCATTAAATACTTATAAACACTTACTGAATGAGTGACAAAATATCCAAAGACAAAAGATTTTTGTCTTTTGCAAAGAAGAAATATTATACTTTTAATGGTAAAATTGCAGTATTTAGTTGCCCTTAGAGTACTACAGTTTCTCTCTCTCTTTTTTTTTGAGTTAGAGTCTTGCTCTCACCACTGGAGTGCAGTGGTACAATCTCCGCTCACTGCAACCTCTGCCTCCCAGGTTCAAGTGATTCTCCTGCTTCAGCCTCCCAAATAGCTGGGACTACAGGCATGCACCACCATGCCCAGCTTAGTTTCTCTTAATGTTCAGTAAGATTCTCTCTTGCTGGAGGCAGCATGGTATAGGGACAAGCACGATCCTGTAGGTAGTGGGTGAGGTGGGAGGAGGTTGTGGTTAGGGAGAACATTTGGATTTTTACTATTAGCACTGTCACTAATTAGTAAGTAATGTCATTTAGGGTGAGTCATTTAACTGCTTATTTCCATCAGGGAATGTGATGAGATCCATGAAAGCATAAACCAGTAAAAAGAACTCACTAGACATAGCCAAGTATTTCTTTTTTTTTTTTTTTTTTTGA